GCATTAAGCATTATTACAAAACCTATGTTCATATTGAATGCCCATGATACGAGGGCTGGTCAAAAAGTTCTAAGCCTAACAAACAAAACCAACAATTAATTTTATTTGTCCATGTAATCTCCCTGCTTTTCAATACAATTCTCATATTGATGGTGAAGCTTTACAATTCCAGTCTGGAATATTTCTGAAGCCACCCTCAATTACCCATTCACAGTAGCTTTGAGGTCATCGTTATCATCATAGCGCTTTCCATGAAGTTGTTCTTCCAGTTTAGGAAACAGGTGGAAATGATTTGGTGCCATGTCTGGCAAGTATGGAGACTGAAGAAGCTCTTCGAACCCACAATGTCGCACATCACCCTTTACAAGTCGACAGGTGTGAGAAGAGGCATTCTTATGAAAAAGTACTCGAAACAGTCAGCATTCCTCACCGCTTTTCTTTGATAGAATCTCTCTGGGGATGAAGCAAATCTGCAAAGTAGGCACTGGTAATAGTCTTTTGACTTTCTACGTAATCAACAAGGATCACACCCTTTGCATCACAGAATACAGTGCCCATAACTTTCGTCACTGATCTTGACGACTTGAATTTCTTTGGTACCAGAGAAGTGGAATTGTGCCATTCCATGGATAGTGGTAGACCCATGTTTCATCACCTGTGTCTTCCTCAAGTTACCAATGGTAATAAGTCTATCTGACAGTATAAGTTTTTCTATCTCATTTATTGAATCTTCATTGATTGAAGTTGAGGGACGTCCAGAACTGGGGTCATCAAGTTTTGTTCTCCCAGCCTTAAACATAGCTGCCCAACATATAACAGTGGAAAGCTAGGGCACTTGTGACACGCTGTAATGAATTTCGTTGGGAGTACTGTTCTCTAAAGTCAAAAACTTGATTCTCATTCTTAACCATTTCTGTGTCCATTTGTAGCCCTATCACATTCAACTGACTGTCACTACTATACAAAGCGCTTCAACAGACCAAATACACTTGCAATGAACTATTCAAACAATGTACTACATTGACTAGTTCACTTTGTTGGCCCATAGTTGAAAGTTAGTCAGGCTGAGATCTTTTGACCAGATCTCGTATAACACAAAAACATATATGGTTTCAATATCAATATTTGTGAAGGAATAGTTTGGTTCCTTGTGATCAAAATAGTATGAAATATACTGTCATTATCCACAGTAAATTCCCACCAAGTGAGGTGAGTTATAATGGATTAGTTCCAACCATAGCAGTTACGCCTCTTTTTTTTATGAGGGGCGGTCGGGTAGCCGAGTGGTCACTGCGTTCCCTCGTCACGCCGAAGACCCAGGTTCGATTCCCGACATGGGTACAATGGGTGAAGCCCATTTGTGGTGCCGTGATATTGCTGGAATATTGCTAAAAGCGGTGTAAAACCATACTCACTCACTCACTTTTCTTTATGCATGCATATACCCACTGTCGTCTTTTGACATCACAGAGGAAAATCAATTTCCTTCATGTACAGCAAGCTATTTTTTTTATCAAATGTATAATGTTATTTATATGAATACAAATCCATTTCAAAAAGTTTAATATTTACAATTAAAGTTACAGCATCGGCTAGAAAATTTAATGTTCTACATCCCTATATCCTTTTAAAGTCGGAGGAACATCTAGTGGCACACAAGCACTTTTCAGATCTTATGTTAATATTCAGCAGAAGTTGACGGGTCAAATATAGTCCTGGCTTCTTACCTCAGAAATAGCCGATCGTGTTCAGATAGAGGCAGGTTAGTTTCGTAACTGCCTTTACAGTCAAACCTTTGTCAGGAAATATTGTCTCTGTAACCTGTAAGATTCCTCTTGAGGTCAGATAACTTCACATACTCCTGTCATAAACCGGTCATGTAAGTTCCAATATATGCTGCATGTTGGTTGCTCAAAAAAGAAAAAAGAAGTGGCACGGTTTGTAGTTAGCCATTGAAGATGAATTGGAATCTAAGTTCTCTTCATCCCTTTGGTCTGAGTCCAGTCTTGGTTAGTAGGTGTGACCTGTGAGCTGTGTCCAAGCTGGAAACTATGTCCAGGTTAGGAGTATTGCGCTGACTTGATCCCATTAGGCACATAATAGTCAAGGGTCTGATTGTGACCTCAATCAAGTCGACACACCCAGGTTGTGTAACTGCAATGACTATGGTGGCCTGTTGTCCATTGTGGGTAACTGTTCTGGGAGCACACTATTCCTTGCTTAGCCATGCAGTGACTGACGACTGTGAAGCAGAGTCCTCAAGTGGTCTCTGTTCCATGTCACCAGGGGTCATTTGCTGTCTATAGTTGCATCCCTTGAGCACACCCAAAACCTATGATTGTGGTTTTTAATCCCAGCCCACCCTGATTATGTTTCTAGGTTTGTGTCCACAATACACCTGCTAATGGGTTTCATCAAAGGGGTAAATATTTGAGACCTGCATCACTTCTGGCTTCCTCCAACATGAAACTGACATGCCTTGATGTGACTGGAATACTCTTAAAAGCAGCAGAAAACCCAATGCATTCACTCACTGCATGTCACCTGGTGACAATACAAGTTTCCCCCCCTCCTCAGCCTGCAGTGGATAAAAGTTCTGAGTCCAGTCTTCCAACTTCAGCAACCCGGCATTACTGTGCGGTGCCCATGCTGGTGTCCGTCATAATCTAGTTCTAGGATTGTCTTACTGAGTCTCAGGATGGAGTTCTTTACTTAATAGCCATGAGCATGCCTCCACCGTCTTCTTAGCCGCTTCCTTCCTTTCGTCCAGGCGAAAAAAACTATTATGAAAGGGATGTACACTGGGAGCACCTGGCATTGTCTGTACACTACTTAGATCAGCACTTCTCCCAGGACGAGTGATGGTCTACAGCGATCTCAGTGTCCACTCTTCTTACAAGCTGACGAAGGAGATGCCATCTAGCAGCTAAGTATCCACGATAAAAACTATCTAGTTTTATGAGAACATGTTAAATTGAAGATAGAATTACAGTACGACAACAAGCTAACATGCTATTACAAATTTTGTAGTTGACACAAGCACATGAAATGTGGGTAGCAAGATACTATTGAAAATTTGAACATTTTATAGTAAGATAATGACCAAAATACAGGATTTCTGGCTATGATATAACAGAAGATTTGTTATGTAAGAATTATGGTATATTCAATATTTTGGCTATGAGGCGATTGTGCAGGCCATACAAATAATACTAACAAAAAAACTATTGTACAAATTTAGGTGAAATTATTGGTAGGAGCAAGCATGTGAAGTTTCTTCTTTATTGGATAAGTGGTTTCTCAGATGATGTTTACAATCAGAGGAAAAACATTTGACAGAAATCAGAGCATGTTCAAGGACCAGGTCTTGATATAGCTAGGTGTCCCGGGACCAGACAAAAACATCCTGACTGAGGCTCACTTGACTTTCAGTCATATGAGCTAAAAGGGAACAAAATATCTTTACAGTGTACTTTACATACTCAACAACAAAAGTTCCTGTGACACCAATATTTTAGTGTATTTTTCAAACAAGTAAAGCTTGGTTTTCAATATTGTAGTACATGTATGGAATCAAGTCACAAAAACGCAACTGCTACAGAAAAGCATGCATTCCTTCCAAAAGTTGACTTTTATGCAAGCCCCATGCATTTCACTACCCAAGAATGGGTATAAAAACATGTGCATTAATGGGATTCCATATGCATTGTTTAGCATTGTGCTGACAACCACTCTGAAAAACAACAAAATTACGCAATTATTCAACATTACGAAATGAGTGTCTGCAAGCAATTGGTATGCTTGAAGCAGGATCAAGTCAACGTGATGTTGCAAGACAATTTAACGTCCACAGAAACACCATTTGGTGTTGATGGCAACGTTGGCAATAGACGAATGCAGTCAGAGACCATCCTCGGAGTGGCAGGCCACGCGTAACCAATAATCGACAAGACAACTGGATTCGAACAACACACCTACAAAATCGATTCCAACCAGCAACAGTGACTGCAAGAAGCATCCGTGGCCTTCGATGAATATCTTCACGAACCATACGTCGTCACCTCAGATGTGCAGAGATTGTCGCCAGAAGACCCGCCAGACGTCCCGCCAGACGTCCCATTTTGATAGGAAACCACGGTCAAGCACGTCTACAGTGGTACAGACAGCGTCTAAGCTGGATGGCCATGCAGTGGGGACAAGTTCTATTCACTGACGAGTCTCGTTTTCACCTCAGCCACAGCGATGGACGGATTCGAGTGTACTGACGTCGAGGTGAACGTTACGTCAATCATTGTGTCATGGTTCGGGGGCAGCAGCATTATGGTATGGGGTCAGCAAGACAGGGGACCCGTTTGATAGTGGTAGAGGGAAATCTCAATGGACAGCGCTACCGCAACGGATCATCGGCCCTGTTGTTCTACCGTTTTTGCGTCGTCATGGCCCAGGTATTACCTTTCAACATGACAACGCCAGGCCTCATATTGCCCGACTTGTTCAGGATTCTCTTTAGCAAAACAACGTGAATGTCATCCCCTGCCCGGCTCGCTCCCCTGATCTCTCACCAATCGAGCTAATGTGGGATGAGATGGATCAACGCCTTCGACGTCAACCACGTGTTCCACAGACACTCCAGGAACTTAGAAACATGCACCAGCAGATATGGACAGATATCCCAAAGGACTTTGTGCGACGCGTGGTCCATTCCATGAGATGAAGATGTGTTGCTTGCCACGCAACCAGAGGTGGACACACACGCTATTGATTTGTAAATTGACATTTTGACATGTTCATGTTTTTTAATGAAATCACGCATTTTCTGAAGTCAGTGTGGCAAATTAAACCATTTGAACACTTACAGGATTCTTTTACCTGTTGCAAACTGAAATTGTTTCAGATTTAGTAAAAAACATAACTTTGCATTAAATCACGTTCAATGTCACAGGAACTTTTGTTGTTCAGTATACTTATAGATAGTAAAGATTTGTAAGTGTATAACATACCTGTGTATAGTTTTGGACCTGAAACAAAACAGTTGTAGGTGTTTGTACTACTCATTTTCAATATATGACACATATACTCATTCATCAACACTTACCCCCTTTCCATAACCTGCAAAGATGACTTGTTCCCCATCAGACAATGTTATGTGTGAAAACATGACAAACCAACATTACAAAGTACATGGATAACAGAATTGTGCAGTATGAATTACAGTTGGTAATACAGATGGTGTCATGCACAGTGAGTGATTTAAATCACTGACTTGCATCAGCTAATGTTCACATTCAGCTAACGTCTGTCTCATTACAGCGACACATTTTTCCATAGAGTTTTATCTTTGTCTATACATTTGGCTTTCCAATTTTTATGTGTCAGGTGTTAAGAGGTGGTAATATAATTGAGTAAATGAAATAGACACTAGTTTCAAAACAATATATATATTTAAATGTAAATAATTAACTTTTAACATAAAAAATTGTGCTAACATTTCAGTCTATTGGCAATGTTTTAATAGTTGTTGAAATTATATAAGCTTGATTAAAGCTCTGCACGCTAACGTCGAACCCATTCGACAGAGGTGTCACTTCCCGTGCATCTAATGTCGAACCAATCGACAGGCGAATAGCATAACGACACCCCAAAATAAAACTCGCCATATATATTTACCAAGAAGGCTTTGCGTAACATTTAAATTACGTATGACATGCATAAATGCTTAGCTTGCTCAATAGCAAAACTTTCAGTCATTTATATACCTCAAAAAGAAAATATCGCGAGTTAAAAAAGTTTCGGCCAAACTTCTCGGCACACAACTACCAGAAACGGCCATTGTTGACTTTTGGCACTTCACGTTGAGCAGCATGCAGTCTGATATTTTCTTCATAATTTCATCATTTTTCCTATTCGATCATAAATTTTTTTGTTTGCTGTCGAAAGGAAAACACTCATATTCCTTAATTTCTAAAAATTAGCAACTTTCGGTGTAACTAATTGTAAACAAAAACAATCTGAATCGTAATATCATCGATTGGATGGAACTTGTACGATCATGGCAACGGCGGTAAACAAACAACTCAACATGCATAGTTATCCCGTTAGACTATTACAATCATTTTGTTACATCTTACTTTATTTTCTAGAATTATTGACACGTATGTATAAATCTTTGTAAAAAAACTATTTTTTTTAAAGAGTTTGCAAATGATTTCGTTTGATAAACTTTCGGACACATTGACAAGCCAACAAACGTCAGTGATACGTTTGGGCGTGGCCTAACTCGCGATTTGTTGAGTTGAACAAAGTCAACATACACTGCGAAAAATGACAAATATTGGATGATACGCAAAATCTGAACTGATACACATTCTAGGTAAACCATTCAATAGCGAAATAATGCAGTTTACGAGAAATAATCAAAATGCTTGCAATTTTAGCTATCATTTCTGAAACCGGAAGCACGTACCGCATGTGACACATGGAAGCAAAATATGCAAAAGTTGGTAAGCTATCATAAAGAAATTCCGAAAATAGATTCAAATTCAAAAGAAAATACATGATTTACTATTTTTCGTCAACTATGTACTATTTATTGATCGGGAGAGCAGTCTTCACTCCTATTTGTTTCATATTTCTTCGTGATTGTCGCCATCAAATGTGTAAGTCTAAATCCGAAACCGTAATGGATTTCACGCTCGATGATTATAATTTTAAAATATTTTTTTAAAACGAACGCAACGGTGAGCGATATAACGTATTGATATGCCATAATAATAACAACATAATATTGTTATTGGTCTCACATTACAAAAAAAGAACAATTTAAAATATTAAAGATGTTGTTGAAAACTTTATGAGAACCTCCCGTCCTCTGAACCGATTAAAATTTTGGTACATGACGAGGTAGTGTAAATATATATAGATATGTGATTTTGTACCCAAAACAAATTAAATTGTACCCAAAATACTTTGTGAATTTGTACCTAAGAAAATAAGACAATAGATCTATAATTATATTTATGTATATATTTCATGTAGATTAACAGAACACATAATACAATATTTCATCAAGTTCATAATATGATGATGACTGTGATCCTTGAAATTGATTGTTTAGTTTTGAGAGAAATTGACGTCTTGTCACTGAAGAAAAGGCCAGTTAAGTTGGTTAAACCTAAGTTAGAATGTATTGTTTTGATAGGAAAGTGATATTATGTTAAGTTTAAGACACCAAAATTAATGTATATCTTTGAAATAATTCTAGGTAGATATACAAAATCACATACCCATTAGGGTACCAAATCACTAGAAATTTTGGGCACAAAAGTCACCACTGTACATTTCAACTGGTTTTCGTGAATGAATGGGATAAAAAAAATTCGTCTGAATGATTCCTTTTTTCACTTTAAGACAAAAATTTGTTTTACATAACAAAACAGGCAGATCTATGCGGATCACGCTTTATCCTAAAAATATGTAAAAATGTGAAAAATAGGACACCTCAGAAATGAGGGCTTATAAAGTTGTAATTCTACCTAACTTGTCACATGGTTTGACTTAGGTCTATCTAAGAAAAGTCCTTATGAAAATCATTTTTTAAATCTTTTTTATGACACTGACATTTCTGGCACTTAGACAAAGAGTATTCAAGGAAAGACAGATATCTTTATATTTCTTTCTTCATGATGACAGGGGGACTTTTATACACACCAGCTGAGGAAGTTGTGATACTGTGATTGCATACAAAGGAAAAACAGGTTGGAAGCAGTACCTGTATGTATAAAATAGACCACATAAGGTGAGTAGTATAAGTAATGGTGATTCTGGCTCACTTCCACTGGAGCCGGATTTATATACCTATACCACCACTACAGGTGGCATTTTTTATGCAAAAATGATGATGCGATTCAATGATAATCATGAGATTAAGTTAAATTGGCTCTAGCTCACTACCACCTGGAGTCAATCGATGCTTCCATTAGTACAAAAACGATGATGAGATACCCAACATTTTTACTAAGTTCTTCGTTCATTTTACAAGTAGACCAGACTATATACTCTTCTTGGTAATTGATGACCGTATTTGGTTGGTTTGACATCACTGATATAATATATACCTTGTGGTAATTCTTTCCTTTTAATAATTTTGTCCCTGAACATAAATGTTTTGATAGCTTTTTCGAGTTCTTTTTTTTTTGCTTTGTAATTCTCCATTATTATATATTTATGTAAGCATTTGTCTAAATGTGATCTAATGATAGTAAGCAATCTATTTTTAATCTCCAACCAGTTCTTTGGTTTTGGCACGGAATAATTGATGCTCTTGTTGCCTCCCCTGTTCTATAAACTTTTTTTTCTCATCTTCGCTAATACCACTGGTCTTACGAGATTTTGATCGAATCTCCTGCTTCATTACGTTGTATTTGGTGAGTTCCGACAGCACTAAACAAAACTCCTCCTCGGAGATCTTACAATCAGCCATTGCTGTTGAAATATGATCCTCAATGCTGTTCAACTTTGCTTCGGCGAGTATCCGAATATTATCGTGTTTTAATGCTTTCTTTTGCAACCTACGAGAAATGAATTTTATCGTTATTCCTGCCAGTCCTGAGACTCTGGCAGCTATTTCCATACCAAGTACGATAGGCGCGGCGATTATAGTTGATAATAAACCAACACCGGCTACACCGAGTCCCATGCCAGCTGTCGCAAGCGCGGTGTCAACTCCGTCCAGAGCATTCACAGCTCTGCGATACTTTTTATACAATCCAAGTCTAAACTCCCTCTCCTTTTCTATTCGATGTTTTATGTCGCTTATTTGATGTAATGGAAATCCATCAACAGTATCCATCTTTTCATCGAGCGCCGGATATAAACTCATAGTGTATATTACGGTCATATAATAGTCTTTAATTGATCTTGCTTAAATGTTTTGAGAGTATACATCAACCTTATTAAATGAATATTATACGGCAAGAATATCTTAGTAAGAGAAATGCTGTCACTTTTAATAATTTGTACCCCCTCAAGGGTTGCAACGGGTGAAGCTCCAATATGAATAATACTGCAACGTTGACGCTCGTGTTTCTTTTGCCATTTAATCGATAGTCCTGGTAATATTTCGAAGGCATCTTCCGGTACATCTCCGAACAAGACTTCAATAATAAGCGTAGAAAGATTAGGTATTGCACTCAAGTTCTGTTTAATATCATTGAATTCAGTAACCAAATTTAAACTAACATTTTTTACTGCTTGATGACTATATAACATATGACCTGGGTTTTCTGGCAGGGGAGAGACTAACACACTTTTTCGTTTTGATGGGATATAAGCCGCGAGTACGATCCCACTATTTATTATCTTAGTTAAATTATGTGCTTTACCCATCATCACATACGGTGGGGTAATGACGATATTCAGTAGCCACTTGATGTTTGCTACGACCATAGTCCATTTATTATCATCGTTGTGAGTAAGATTGTACAAAGTGTTTTTTTTAAGGAGTCTAGTAACAATGTCGACATCGCTTAAATCTTCTAGATTACCTGAGAACGTAACTTCTTTCCGCTTGTATACATTATCTTGTAAGTGTAAAGCGTATAACTTTCCATCGGTACCGGGTCTACCGAATCCTTCTGTGTCTCCGAGATCGGAAAGCGCAATTGTATTACATTGTCTGAGTGTTCCAGGGTCTGATGAATCAACCATTATTTATAATATGGAGTGTTACACTTAAGTATCCTATATGTACAGGTTGGTGTTTTACATCTAATACAGAAATTTTGAGGTCTGAAATAATACCACGCTTCAATTTTTTATATTGTAATGATGAGAAAGAGTCCGTTCTACCGCTATTATATTTTCCATCTTTCACTGGAACAGATCTGAGCAGAGTTGAAGGACTTTCTAGTTGAATATTATCCGTCGTGCTTATTTGATCAAGATGGATGCACAACTCTTTATAGGGAACTAAATGGGGTAATGTATCTCCATACCATGTTTCGTTGGGTGCCATTGCTAT